TGTTTACCAAGTGCTGAGCACTGTGCTGGGTTCTGGAAAGGAAACAGTCACTGCCTCAAGGAGTACCCAGCATTTTAGTGGATACAGACCTATAAGGAAACAATTATATCATGAAGTGATGTGAAAAACTATATGCACAGATTAGGTAGCAGATGTGAGAAAGAGATTAACCTTCTCTAGAAAGGTCCAGGGAGACCACTCAGGAGAGGTTATAAGAGACCATGATTTTAAAGAAAAGTCAGGAATTTTCCAGGTGGTCAAGGTGGGGGAAGAATATCCCAAGGATAGTTAACAGTATGTGCCCAAGGACATGAGAAAACAGGATGTCATCCTGGTTAACCTAGAAGCAATTAAGTGCTATTGGAGTATCAATGAGGAAGTTGGGAAGTAAGGAGGGGCCAGGAAATTGTGGGTGATAAATTCAAACACAGGCAGTGGCCATATGTTGCAAAGTTTGAAGGTCATAATCATTGTAGGTGACTGATGGAGTTGGCATGTGTTGTCCCCTCCAAAATTCATGTGGAAATTTGATCTCCAATGTGGCAGTGTTGGAAACTGATTGGGTCATGGGGGCGGATCCCTCACGAATGGATTAATGCTCTCCCTGGGGGAGGGGGGGTAGTGAGTGAGTTCTCACTCTATTAGTTCCCACGAGAGCTTGTTGCTTATAGGACCCTGGCACCAACTCTCTCTCTCTCTCTTGCTTCCTGTTGCCATGTGATCTGCTTGTACCCACCAGCTGCTGCCACTTTCCGCCATGAGTAGAAGCAGCCTGAGGCCTGTGCCAGATGCAGCTGTCCCAGCATTGTAAGCCAAATAAACCTCTGTTCTTTATAAATCACCCAGTCTCAGGTATTTCTGTTATAGCAACACAAAGTGGACTAAAACAGTGATGGTGAGAGGGAGCCCTCTGGGAGAAGATCCGACAGCCTTTAGGATACCCTTTGATGGCAGAGTGGAGGATAAATGGGGAAAGAAGGGATTAGAGTTCAGCAATAACTCAGGAAGAAGAAGTATGAATGGTCCAGATGAGAGACTGAGGGCCTGACTGAGGCAGTGGGGATGAGACTGAGACAGGTTGGATTGTTGTTTTTTTTTTAAAAGATGACCGGCCCTGGATTGATTTTTAAGAGAGAAAATTTATAATTGATAAGACTAATTTAGTCATTGAATGTAGATAGATAAAAAGGGGAAAAAACAGCACTCTTTCATTGTTTTGTATTTCTTACTTGGTAAAGCACGATACTAAGCACATAAAAAACATTCAGGGGCCGGCCCGTGGCTCACTC